ACTATACTTATATATATAATAATAATATATTAGTAATAGTAATATATATATATATATATATATATATATATATATATATACATACATATATATATATATATATATATATAAATATGTGTGTGTGTGTGTGTGGGTATGTTTATGTGTGCGTTTGTGTGTGTGAACACGAGTGTGTGTGTGTGTTTGTGCGTGAATAAACACATGCCCGTTATTGTGCATATTCCAATATACATACATACATACACATATGTAGATATTTATAGTGAAATTGGCAATATAATGAATACGCACGTGTAGTACTATCCTACTCAACTTGAATGATTGTTCCGGACACGATTCCTTGTCGGTGTGTTCTTGAGGTTGTTTTTCCACACATTATTGTAAGAACGTGCTTTGTGCTAATCTCTTTTTTATAGATTAGCACAAAGCACGTTCTTACAATAATGATTAGCACAAAGCACGTTCTTACAATAATGTGTGGAAAAACAAAAAAACAAAACAAAAACATGCTAGTATGTTTACTTGAGGTTGTATTTCCCACACATTTTTGTAAGAATGTGCTTTGTGCCAATCTATATATAAACAAAAAAAAATACATGCATAAAAAAATCCGCGTCTTATTTTCTAAGTTAGACAAGCTTTGCGCTGTTTGCAATCTGAGTTGCCACAAGGGCAACGAGCGGTCTCTAGCTTTACGATTTCAACAACATCGGACTTCCACATTCTCTCTGAGCAACTAGGGGATGAAATCATCACATGATATTACAAATTCCCGACCAACTGAATTCGCCTAAATTATACGATAAAATGTACCGTATTCTTAGTGCACAAAGCTCATTTCAAAACTAGTCGATAAGTTCAAACCACATGACTTGAGATCGATAATGATGGCTCCGGTTTCAGCGTTTTGTGACACAATTGGCTGTGTTTTGGGGCTATGGTCTTCCACAGCTAGTAGAACTGACGACGGTACCTGTCGAGATGCAAGAGAGTGGATATAATATGAATCACGTAGATACCTTCTGGATTGAATCGAAGGTAGATGTGAGAAGCATGCACAGTGAATTTCTCTTTTCCTCTCTATGGATCGGGATGTGATGTAAAAGACTACAAGCAAACAAAGCAGTACAGCCTAACAATCGATATGTGAATCTCTTTGTGTGACACCCGAAACCATAAACATACCCGACCAAGGCCGTAAACTCTCAAGGTATGGATTGGTGGTAATGTGTCTTTATAGCCGGTGGCTGTGGCCTCGGCACGGAAACCCATTTCCCCGGCAGTATACTTTGTTCGGACGTAGGTTTTCAGTTGCCGTTGGTTGCCGTTATCCCAAAACAACTGATTTTAAACCCAAATCAACCAGTAAGTACTATATAGCTATATACGAACACAGTGATGACATCGTCCGTGATACCTTCACTGACTACAAACGGGCGCCATTCCGGATTCTCGAATCTAAGAAGTTGGTGGTTCCTTGGATCCACCACGCATGCAAGTCCATACAGCGAGCATACGCTGGCCAAATGGTACTAAAAAAATCACGTACAGCACACACAGTAGGGGCTTTTAACTCGCTATTGTGTGCAATAGACTAATTTGCACCTACAAATATCGGCCGCTAGCGCGAAGGTGCTTACAGTAGAGCATAGTGAACTTTCCTCTTACCTCACCGGTTGCAACACCTTCAGCATTTGACGAATCGTACATGATAGTCAGGGTAGCAGGTGTTTCTCGACAAGCTTTTGTAGTGAGCCTCGCTTCCTATAAATGGGAACAATTGGACTTGCTGACTAATATATCAAAATTGTGCCACCAGAACAGCACAAAAGTGGTGTGCCGTGCTGATATACATGAATCAACCTCCGTGACGAGATCTTCAACAGAAAACCCCAGCGACTAAGAGGGTGATAGACGCATGACAGCCGTATAGCCACCTTACAATTGTTAAGAGCTTCCGACAGATGGACTGATCCTACTGGAATCGACTATCAGAAATATATATTTAGCGCCATAACAGGACTGACATACCTGAGTAACGACCACCTGGCCACCTTTTCCAAACAGAGGGATGATGGTATCATCCTCGATACTGCAAAACCACAAGGTATATGAGAACATGAGCATAGGTTCAAAGCACACGCTGCAAATGACAAACACGGCTGTGTCAATACAGATACACCGGGCACTAAGAACCAGTACCATTTCAAGTGCGAATATTTCTATCGGCGCTATCGTACCTGCTGTTCGCGTTGGCCGAGGTCCCTCCGCATTCGCTCATTATAGCACCGTTGAACCAGTTGTACCATTGACACCCCTTCGGAAAGTACACGGCACGCGATGTCTGCTGATAGGCGTTTATCGGAGCTACCATGATGGCTGGCCCAAACTATGAATATAAATTGACGCCAACTTTGAGTTTAGACAACGACCAGTGCATGCTGTACCAATATAGGGACGAGTCACTTGTTGGTTTTTCAATAAATAAGGGCAGTCCATAAAACAAAAGGTGGGTGTAAACCGAATCCCGCAGGCAATCTGATTACCAGCATACTTACCATAAATTGATCTTGCACATCCCGCGCTGTCTCGTCATCGATGTGGTCGAAGTATAAGGCTCGAATTATCATCCCAATTTCGGCTAGATGGGCGCGCGCGAACTGCAGTGTTGATCAGACAAGTGCATTGAGGAGGCGTTTTAAGAATAAATAGCTTTACCAACATATACCACTGAGTCTAACACTGTGGCCGCCTTTGAAAGGAATCCAGGATTGGAGAGAGGTGTTCATGAGTTTGACTTGTGTTTTAGTTCCGACACATATCACCTATCGCTTACCTGAGTGTATATGTACGGCAGCAGCTCGTAGCGGAGTCTGAGTACATTTCGCGCAGCAATAGCTGCGTTCGGACTCTCCCATGGCTGATGCACTCTATAGTCCAAAGAACAATATAATACTCAGAATGAGAAATAACGGTGGAGTCACCGTTTGAAACCCCTGTGATTTTGCTCTGCGAGTGAAGTTATGCTTGGTGTATTGAGCAAGACGAAAGCACTGCTGAATTGTCTATCTCATACCAGCTAATCACGAATGGCATACGAACGAGGCGGTTTGTTGGGTGACATTGGAAACATACCTGACGCTTCCCAGGCAGATGTGATTGCGGGCGAAGGGGAAGAATGAGCTCAGAGCTGTCCAACGGCACAAAAGCTCATCGTACTCCTCATCCGACAGATTCAGATCGTCGGCGAAGCCTCCACTATCATCTCCAACATACAGCAATCCATGAACCTAGAAAACATGTTCATATAAAATTGTATTAAACCAGTTTAGATGAATAAGCGAGCGTGGGAATAATTGATTTCAATGTATATATATATATATATATATATATATATATATATATAACAACTAATAATAACGTACGTACGTACGTA